ACATGTGCCATGGAAAGACTGGCTGCAATACCAAACTTACCATTTTGTTCATAGATGCCAATTGAGAGAAAGAAAGAAAATGTTCTGGTAATGCACTGGCTGGTTCCCAGGATACCGCTTTCAGCTCTAGTGTTCCCCATTCCTGAGGGATGTGAAGCAGCAGAAAGTGGTCTACCAGCTGGGACCATGTAGAAGGGGTCATCCGTAGGGTGGAAACAGACCTTTGTGTTTAAAGCTTAGAGAGATCTTAAGACACTTGGGGACATTCATCTCATTCAGTACATTTCTCTGAAATACCTTTTATTTTGAAACTTAGATACAGAAAGTGGTTAACTGGGTGGGTCTTTGGGTTGATTTACTACTGTAATTACAACATTCAGGTTGCATCCATACAGGATGAACAAAGAGCTTAAAGAAAGATAAGTTCACAGTGTCCTAGGTTTATAAAATTCCTGAAATTCAACAGACCCTTCCACCATTGCAGCAGTAACTATTTCCCTCAGTTCCTAATTGCTCTGAATTCAGCAATCTTTTAACAACCAGGTGTGTACATGTGCCAGGTATGTGCATGAGCAAAGAGAGACAGAGAAGACAACAAGAGCCGTGGACCAAAGGAGAAATACCTACTTCCTTTCAATGACAGGACACCTGCATGAACTCTTCTGTAGTTCTGAGATCAAAATTTTCTTCACCTGTCCAGGTTGCCAGTCTACAATCACTATCACAGTGTCACCGATACAGTACAATACACAGGCATGAGCAAACAAGCAGATAATAAAACACAAGGTTTCATTAGGTTGAACACTTATCGTGGGTTTGTACACAATTAATTATCCATAATCAAAATCTGATCACTCAGTTCAGGTATACAGGCAGATAGGAAACCCTCATCTGAGGTCGAACTTCCAAGGAAAAAATCTGTGAGTCTGCTGAACACTGCACAAAATCAAAGAAGTAGTTGGCAAAACCCAAAGCGGTCTAAAACTATTAAGACAATAGTGAATTTGGGACCAATATTGGGACCAATACACCTAAGTGTAAGGCAAGTATGAGAAACTGCCTTTGGGTGAATATCATTGAAGTATAGTGAAAAGGAGTGTTGGCTTAGCAGGAGTTCTCACCAAGCCAAAACTAACAAATAGGGCATAAAATCAGCAAACCCAGGGCTAGCGGGGGAAAGAGTAAAATTAGCTGATTATGTGTGAGAAGGAAAAGAGAGAATAGTGGGCAAAGCAAACTATGCAGTCAGGGCTGTTCTGGATCCCTCTGAGCAGCCCTGCAGCTGATCAACTCAGGGCAGTGCTGGTCAGGGAGCCTCCCGTTCTGGCTGCACCCCACGTCTGACCGGCTTCTTTAGCCCAAGGAACCAGGGTGCTCTCCTTCACGTGAATGCAGGAGCACTGTAAAAGGGATGGTAGAGGGACTGGACCTGCCCTAGCACATACATGGCTTAATGCTGATGCCACAGGCTTGGCTTCCTCTCCTACTTCTCTCTGTTAAGGAAATTCAGGAGATTAGTTGCAGTTTGATTGAGAGCACTTGCCAATCAATCTGACTCACTTTTCTATTAACTCTCACCACAGACTCTGAACAGTACTCAGAAGGCAGTAAATTAATCCTTGCTGATCGGAACTGGGAAATGCAGTGATCACATAGACACAAAGTACTTGGAACAACAGAAGCTGGACCAGAGTTATACGGTCAAACAGAATATGGACTTCTGCAGTTAGGACATTGCATTCTCACTTCACTGCTGCTGTATTTCATGACTGTATGCTAGGCATCCTTGCAAACTTCCTAAACTCTTGTGAGACTTTTCAGGAATGTGAGTAGAAGTTTAATGATGATATCTTGGCAAAGCAGACGTTTTTGCAGTATATGGTGATTCTAGTGGTAAATTATTCTTTATAGTAAGAGCAGTATAATTTTCCAGTCCTGAGTCTAACACAGCAAGTCATTCTGGATATTACAGGGAAACTCCCAAACATTCTCTTTGATAAAGATTATTTTATACTGCATGACATTTAGCCTCCAGAAAAATATAGATTTTTTAAATAAAAACAGAAGTGCTTCAATGATCAAAACTAATTGACTTTCACAATTTTTACCGAGTAATTATCTGCATGAAAATAAGGATACTTCTCACGGTGTTTTATCAAAAATTTTTGTAGCATATGCATGATTTAATAATTCACATCTGCTTAAATAGTAACATCAAGTACCTTTATTTGAATTATTTCAATCAAAATGGAATCATATTGCCAAAGTAAGAACTTGTAAATTGAATCATTCTAAACTAAAAAACTTCTGTGTAAGTCTTTGTAGGCAAAATTTACCACTTCATTACAGAGTCAGTCCCATTTAAGGTGGAGAGCAACAGAATTCATCTACAAGCAATCCTTTTGGAACAACTATACAGGGACTACAGGATCGTCTTTATGAGAAATGTCAAGACCTAGTGTGTTCTAAGACCATGCTATCACAGCAACTCTATCAAATTTTTGCAAAAAAGTTAAAAAAAAAAACAAACCAACAAAAATCAAAACTCCAACAAAACAAAAAAGAAAAAACAAGAGAGAAAATCACACCATCTTCCGAAGCATGAGATGGTATGGATGAATGAACAGCAATGACACAAATGAGATAAGATTGGATTTAAAGAGTTAGTTTTAAGGTTTACTTCTTGGATCCCCCTTTTTCTGAAAGCAATAATTGTACTGTTTATACAGCGGAAAGGTTCTTACTCCGATATAATATATGCCTTTTTAGGCTAATAGTCCTTAAAGACTGATCCATGCACAGTGCCTTTCACCCTGTAATGAAGAACAGCAAAAGAACAAAAGTATTGTTTCAGCATTTATATAGGTAAATATGATTAGTCACATAGGGTAGGAGGAAAAAAAAATCCTGAAATCTATTACTGGAGACAAGGAGGCTTTGGTGGAAGTAACACCTGCAATAGCAGTTTTACTCTGATCCCTGGATAGTTACAGCTAGAGGCAGAATTTTCATTGTGGTCTGGGGGGATATTGTGCATAATGAGCACAACCGGATTTAGTTTGCATTTTTGTTTTGATTTAATTGAGGATTTTTTTCATCATTTCAGACATAGATGTTCAAGAATAAATGTTGATATTTCATTAAGTACCTTAAAGTTGTACACTTCCATATTTAATATACATAATTTGAAGATTAGTACCAAATTATCTGCTCTGGACTATAACCCAAACTGATAAACATGGATGGTGTTGCCCATATGTAAAAGGGGATTTGGGCACAATCACATTCCCATGGGACACTTCGGTGTGGGAAAAATGAGAGAAAGAGAATGCCACCATATTTTCTTACTGGAAGTTTTCTTCCCATTCATTCTAGTAGGGAAATAGAATTTGGGACCAGCTTGCTACGTTTGGATCTCATCAGTGGGTTCCTTTTCTCTGAAAAAAAAAAAAAAAAGGAATCTTTCCAAGAAAAGAGGAGGAGAGAGAGGGGACAAAGCAAGGAACTGGAGAAAAAACTGAAAGAATATGTCTGTCTCCCTTTCTTCTTTACTTTGGGAAAAAAGCAGGGACAACAATGAGTAAATGAGACACTGCATCCAGGCACAATTCTTTTAAAATCATATCGCTCCTTCCAATATTAAAATCAAGTGGCAAGAATCTCATTGAGGTGCTAGAAATAACCTCAGGGTAATGGCACACATTACTACCAGCACAGTACTAAGAGGAAAATACTGTAGATCTGTGCAATATTTTTTTCACTTTACTGGGAAAATACAATTCTAGTCTATGATATTTTTTTCTACTCAAAAATTCCTGCAATGTGAATCTATGGGTACCTCCATGTGCAAGGAGGTTGGCTGTATTCTTCAACTCACTCAATGGAAAATGAGTAAAAACTGATTTCCTATTTTAGTAGTAGGCTAGCATGCATCACTGAGACATGTAAATTTCTTTTACAGGTACAAGGCAGAAGGTAAAGAGACCTATGATATCTGTAGCTTGTAGTGTTGGTATGTAGAGTTACATAGAACTAAACTGAAAGATATTTTTCCTAAACTGTGTAAATTTGTAGAGGTTAATCTCCATATTTGATTTTTTTTTACTACCCAATCAGCATACTAACTGATTTCACTCATTTTTATAAATAACATTTGTCTTCCTATTGCCATTCAAATATAATTTATTCTAGGCGGAGAGATTACAGACCTTGATTTTATCTGAAACGTCTTTGAGTCATAGTGAGTAAAATGACTCACTTCCATCATCACTGTTCAGTAAAATGATTCTGGTATATCAAAATTATCTGTTCTGTCTAGTCCACCCTGTTCTATTTATTTTCCTAAAACTTGATTTCTGATGAGCAATGATTTAAGGCAACATTTCAAGTTTTCCCTTATTGTTTTTCAGACCAATCTTTCACTATTATATCTCCCAGCTTCCAGACCAGAAGAACCTGCTATTTTTGTAGCCATTGTCAAAGGTCCTATTTTGCTTCAGATAGATTTTGCATTCTGATTCAGATTCCAGTCAGCAATATCAATATGAGATCCTACTGGGAAAGGAAGAGCTGATTGCTCCTCAGAAAATCTCGCTCTGACAGACAAAGAGAAAGCTTGTCTGGTTGATTTAAAGGAATGTAAAATTTAGGAAGTTATCTTAAGTTATCTTAAGCTCTGCCAAGGGAGGTTTAGGTTGGATATTAGGAAGAAATTCTTTACAGAGAGGGTAATCAGGCATTGGAATGGGCTGCCCAGGGAAGTGGTGGATTCTCCATCCCTGGAGGTTTTTAGGATGAGACTGGATGTGGCACTTAGTGCCATGGTCTAGTAACCACGGCAGTGTTGGATCAAGGGTTGGACTTATGATCTCAGAGGTCCTTTTCAACATGGCTGATTCTACAATTCTATGAGTCTATGTGGTGCACATGACACAGGGTCAACTTTAGTTCTAGACTCTCCAGAAGAAGAGAGACATGGACATATTGGAGTGAGTCCAAGAAAGGGCTATGAAGGTGACTAAGAGATGGAGGTACCTGACGTAGGAGAAGAGGCTGGGAGAGAGGAGTCTGTTAAGCCTGGAGAAGAGAAGGCTTAGAGGGTTCTTAGTGTGTATCAATACCAGAATGGGGAGCTGCAGAAGATGGATGCAGACTCTTCTCAGTGGTGCCCACTGAGAGGACAGGAGTCAATGGGCACAGACTGAAATACAGGAAGTTTTGTTTAAACATAAGAAAAAAACCCACTTTTTTATTGTAAGGATGGTTGAACACGAGAACAGGTTATCTAGACAGGCTGTGGAGTCTGTCTCTGGAGATATTCAAAATACAGGTGGACATGGTCCTGAGCAATCTGCTCTAGCTGACTCTGCTTTGAGGAGGGGTGTTGGAGTAGGTGGCCTCTGGAGGTACCTTTCAGACTCAACCATTGTGTGATTCTGGTAGGAGTTAACCCTGATAACAAACCATCCTTAGGATGTATACGGTGCAGCATTATAGGGGAATACTAAATAGATCTCTGTTCCCTGAGTCAACAATGCTTTTCCTTTAATAACAAAATGGAGTTATATTTAATGTGCTTCCTGTGTCCTTGTTTGGCAACCATGTTTATGCTAAAATATCTGCATGCCTACAATAGCCAAGGTAAGGGTCTTTACCGATCAGCCTGAAAAACAAGAAACACATTTGCTTCTTTCTGTACTATCTGTACTGTCTTGCTACGGTGTAGCAAGCAAAGAAAAGCTGAAGAAAATAGAAGAATTTTATGCCAGAGGGTGTGCATCATTCAACTTTGAGGTAAATAAAGCCTATTAGCACTAAAACATATAATGGAATTTTGTATAAAGCAGATCAGTTTAGTGCGGTTTAGTGCAATTTTTACAAGTTTCAACAAAACCAGTAATTAATCTTCTAAATGGAAGAAAAAGAGGTTTTGCTGATTTCTGATGCATCAAGCTACAAATAATGTTTTCTCTTTTAGGAAACAAAATAACGTGAAAGGTATCACATGTATAGGAAGAACAAAAGAAACTTCCCATGCAGGCATGCAGGTACTATGCTGAAAAGTGACTGTAAAGTGGTCTTTCTACATCTCTATAATTTTACTATTTTTTCCCTCATCCCACTCCAAAAATATCACTGACTCCAAGCCTTGCATTTTGTTAACAATAGCAGAAGAAAAAAAAAGGTGCAGCTTACTAAAGTTCTGGCTTCTACCTGTAAGGGGACTGACATTACCTACTTTGAACGCCTGATCAGCAGAACAGCATCCAACTGAGCAGAATATGGGGCAAGAGCAGATGTTTGCATAGCTCAAAAATTGTACCACTAGGCTAGATCTTGGAAAGTGGTTCCATTTTCTCTTGTGAGTTTTTAGACCTGCAGTTCATAGAGTAGTACAACCTCTTTTTCCCATTCCTCACTCAAAAGCAGAGGCCCTGAAATGTCAGATGCATATTCTCCAGCTATGTAGTGGTGTTTGGCCAAGGCAAAAGTGTCCTGGCCAAGCAGAAGCAGATAATTTTTATCTCCACGAGGTGCTTTCACTGTAATTTAGATAAAGGCACCCTCTGGCCCATTTCCTAGAGGTAAAGAAAAGAAAAAGCTGACCACACAGGGGCAAAGGTAATACAGAAACTTCGAGCAAGGGACCTGCATTTCAAAGTTAAAATCCTGGCTAGTCCAAAAGATACTATGCCCTCTTGCTTCTTCAAGCTGTTCTTTGTGTTTCAGTACCTGCTATCTTCAAAATAGATGTTTTCCTTCCAAATAGAAAGCTATTAATTGTTAAACGATGGTATTTCTTTTGCTTTCCCAAAATCTATTCTAAAATTGCTTCCAATGTCCGTGCTATTACCCTATGATAAATACAAATTTATGTGTCAGTCCCTCCTTCCTAATGAATAAGTTACATTACATATAGGAGGCAGAACATGACTAAATAGTAATCCTAGAACATCTGATTTATTACAAATTCATACCCTTCATTAACACAGAATGTTTTGTACCCACAGTCTTCTCCTAGGCAACCTACCTGTTCTTCTGATGCAGTAGGTGGGAGAATGGTGACCCTGTTTCATGTTAAAATGTACTGCTTTTTTACCCTGCTGTGGCATGGATGTGGCACAGAAAGAATGATACAGTTTGTCAAAGTGCAGCTGGGGCAGCATATTCTCTTTCTCGATTTTACCACAAAATATCCACAGCAGTCATAATGATGATGCAGAGAATGTAAGAGTTTGGTTTGCATCAAAGGAATTCATGAAAGTTAATGCATATCAAAAATAAAAAGGCATCTGAGTCACTGCACAAAAGCTATTTTTGAACTTATATAATCAAATATACTTACGTATGATATAGAGAGACTGTGCCAGCTATGGCATGCATATCCCTCTACTGTAATTAATCTTTGCAAGCTCTTTCAGTCATTTTAGGTCTACATTTACTTCTGCCTCACACAGTTGTGGCATTATCTCAGTTTTACCATCTGTCACAGACATCAGAAAAAAAAGTACTTAAACCAAAGATCATAAAAATACTTTTTAAAGCATTTTGGTTTTCATACTTTACAGTTTCTGTACACATAGGTCTGTACACGTACTTAAGACAAAAGGCACCATACTGAACAAGAATGGAAGAGTATCAGCAAAGAAGCTTTCAGAAGGCCTTGCTTAATATACTTACTTAGGTCTTTCATCCTTCACAACATGGTTCACATCTTACAGTTCAAGCTCCTCTCTGTTTTTAAATAAAAGATCCAATGGAAATAGCAAGGGCGGAAGAAATCTTTTTTCGCTGATCAGCAGTTGCCAGGGTGTCTTTTCATGCTTTGGCAGTTGTTAGGACACTTACCCAAGAGCTAGGCCATTAATGAGAAGTCTAATGACTTCCATTCCTTTTCGTAAAGCATTCAGCACGTCACCAGTATTTATGAGGAAGCCTGCTGTAGCTACAGGGACATTATGTGCCTCACTGTATTTCAAGCTGAGAGATGATAAAAATGGAGCATTAGTTTATCTTTTTTTTTTTTTTTTTTAAACAGTCTTCCTTTCCTTCTGTCCTTTGTAAATAGATGTGCCACATTTCTCACAGCCTGAAGCTAAAGAAATATCTTCAGGCTTGTTGCCAGATCTATTTTCCTCCAAATATCTACCAAATCACCAGAAGCTCTTATTAACTGAGGGAACTGAACCTTCAGACAACAACTGTTCCAGTCCCTCCTGGGGATTTTTTATCTGAGTATAGTAAACAATTCGAAGTTTGAAGTTCTGTATACTTATTCATTTATTTTGCTTTATTTTTCAAAGCAATCAATGGTCTTAACATTTTATGGACAAAATGGTGGTTTCTAATACAGAACAATTCTACCAATTAAGGAAAAAAAATCCATCTAGATGGATCTGTTTTCAGTTTTCTTCTCACAACATAACCTCCTTTCAAATTTCCCAAAGAGAAATTTGTTTTCCTTACCTTCCTTAGACCATGGAAAGTAGTTAAGGTCCCAGTTTTGCAAACACTTGCTGCTTTAGTCACTGAAAATCTCAGAATCACAGAATGGGTCAAGTTGGAAGGGACCACAGTGGGTCACCTTTCCAACCTCCCTGCTCAGGCAGGGTTATCCTACAGCACGTGGCCCAGGATTGCATCCAGACAGTTCTTGAATATCTCCTGTGAAGCACAACCTCTCTAGGCAATTTGTTGCAGTGCATGGTCACTCACGCAGTTAAATAGTTCTTCCTCGTATTCAGGTGGAAATTCCTATGCATCAGTTTCTTCCTGTTGCTTCTTGTCCTGTTGCTTGGCAGAGCCGAGAAGAGCCTGACTCCATGTGTGCAAGCATAACCTTATGTATTTGTAAGACTTCTACCTTGATTCTTTACTATGTGTTTCTAGTTTATCGTCTGGGATCTGTTATTGTATTGGGTTTGCGTGGCCAGGTTTTGACAGCAGAGGGGCTATAGGGGAGGCTTCTGTGAGAAGCTGCTGGAAACTTCTCCCATGTCTGGCAGAGCCAGTCAGCTCCAGATGGACCTGCCACTGGCCAAGGCCAAACCAATCAGGGATGATAGTAACGCCTCTGTGATAACATACTTAAGAAGGGATAAAAAAAAGTTGTTGGGCAGATGAAAGTTGTAGCCAGAGAACAGCGGAGTGAGAACATTTGAACAGCTCTACAGGTGCCAGGGTCAGTGGAGGAGGGGAAGGAGGTGCTCCAGGCCCTGGAGCTGAGGTTCCCCTGCAGCCCATGGTGAAGACCATGGTGAACCAGGCTGTGCCCCTGCAGCCCATGGAGGACCATGTGCGTGCAGATATCCACCTGCAGCCCATGCAGGAGCCCATGCCAGAGCATGTGGATGCCCAAAGGAGGCTGTGACCCCATGGGAGGCCCATACTGGAGCCTCCCATGTAGGAGGGAGCTGTTGACCCCTGGAGAGAGGAGTCCATGCCGGAGCAGGTTTTTCCTGGTAGGACTTGTGGCCCTGTGGGGGACCCATCCTGGAGCAGCCTGTGCCTGCAGGATTGCACCCCGTGGAGAAGCAACCCAGTTGCAGAAGTTTGTGAGGAATCGTTGCCCATGGGATGGACTCATGCTGGAGAAGTTCGTGAAGGACTGTCTCCCATGAGAAAGAGCTCAGGGAAGCAGGAGAAGGACTCCTCTCTGAGCAGTTGCAGAAACAACTGACGGTTGTTTCTTGTCCTGTCCCATTCCCTGTCCGCCTGCAATGCTGTGGAGGGGAGGAGGTAGAACTTGGAAGGTGGGAGGGGTGGGGGGAAGGTATTTTTAAGATTTATTTTACTTCTCATTCTCCTGCTCTGATTCTGCTAGTAATAAATTTAATTAATATGCCCACTTTGAGTCTGTTTTGCCTGTGACAGTGATAGGTAAGTGATCTGTCCTGTCCTTATCTCAGCTCTGTCCAGTTGCAGAGGGGAGTGAGAGAGTGGCTTTAATGGGTAACCCTGGCATCCAGCCAGGGTTAATCCAGTACAGTTATCTACTAAGTATTTTATTTAATACAAGCTACCCTTCCAAGATATTAATTTAAACCTTCTCTTGTTTTGTGCCAAGTTAACCATCTACCTAAAGGACTAAATATATAAAAAAGAGAATCCTGGAGGTGCAGTGACAGTCAATAAGACCTAAATTATTTGAAGTGTAGAAATGCCATTGGAATGCTAATTCAGCTCTTAAAAAGTTTAAATTGTTCCCCTAACACATTTATTTTGCTATTGTTTCTCATGGAAGCAGAAAGGAGATTCCCTCTTCTTCTTCAACTTTTCAAATAGCTTTAAAAACGCTATTAATATACTTGCTCTCCAAACCATCAGCCATTGCCTTAAAGATGAAGTACGTTATGTTTCTCAGCCAGTTCCATGATCATTTCTTGTAGTGATTATGCAAGTGATGATAAATACACAAATTCTCTTCCCATCTTTGAAATCGCAGGAACTAATTGCCTTGTGTGCAGAGAAAGCTCCTTTGAAATCAGAATTCTATTTTTTTTTCCCTAATGTATGGGAAAAGTTTTGTCCTTGTCATGACATCTCCATCTCATTGGTGTTTTCCTCTTGTGCTCTCTTTTGGTCTTACAGTCTAAGGGAATTTTATATCAGTGTTCAGTGATAGGCTTCTGCCTTTTATAAATAATTTTGACTGTATATTAACTGGTGATTATAGAGAGATTAAACATTCACATCACTTGTCTTCAGCCTTCTTACCACTGTAGACCCCCATTCTGATGATCTACTGTGAGCACACAGAGTGAAATTTTGAGAAGGAATCAAGAAATAAGACAAGAAATTTGTACTTGACACTCAAGAATTTTATTGGATGTGCAAAAGTATTTCAATGCAAAGGTTTTGCTTCCAGTAAAAGCTACCTGAAAAACTACTGAAAACCAACTCTTATTTAACTTTTTGCAGTGTATCTTTATGGCATTTCATTGTGATTAAGTATCATGGTGTCTTAAATGAGTCATAGAACAGCACGGAATGATGTGTTAATATCCTCAGTTTTGTATTTTTTTTCTCTTGCTGTGACTAGAATTGT